GTTGTACAGTTCAGAAACCACTCCCTTACGCCACAATGACAGGATGGCGGACCGCGCCGGTTCCCATAGCCCCTTAGCATGTACCGCGCTGCTTGAGTTCGAATATGACAATTAGATTTTGTTAAGTTTGTCTACTTTGGCGCCGGGCAACGACGACAGGTAAACAGATTTATTGGAGGTTTCAATACTGCCGTGGGAGCCATGTCAGACTGCAGGGGAGGCAAGAAGTCATTTGGTGTACTAGACCATAGCTTTCAGGTTTCCCATTAATATTTTGCCGAATCTGATGACAGTTTTATTATCAGCTAGCCGATGACGTGCAGGATAACCATTACCTAGTTTGACGAACGAAGCCGTTTTACAGAGGCTGTGCCGTCTCGTAGGTTGTCAAAATTTGTCACCTCCCGATACAACTTGTGCTCGTAGCCTTGACAGAACTTACTGATTCGTCATAGCTGGACCCGAACACTTCTATAGACATCAGTAAAATATTATTAGCGACTATCCATTTAGAATATTTGGCAGCTAGCTAAATTAGTCCCAAGTCTACAGAAAGTCATTCCATTATCCACTACCTATGGATGCCTCGGTTAGTCTGCAACTGGGCTAGTGTAGAAGTTTCGTCATCAAGGTCTTGGGTGACTCGATCCGACTGAGCATTAGCACAGAGCCAATTTTTTTCGAAAGCCTACAATTTCGGAACCTAGATTTGCAAGGTGAAGATCTTTTTGAGTCAAAATCAGTGAGTGAAATATTTTCTTAATCAAAAATAAATGCTTATATGTGAGCAAAGTAGATTATATCACAAGGGCTTAATCACAGTTCTTACATGCACCTATACAAGCTGGTAATCTGAGTAGGTAAGATAGATCAGTCACAGCTGGAATTGAGGGATATCATTTCATCGAAATATGCCTTCGCTGTGCATTGAAGGTCATCCCAGGAGAGCTGATACAGGCGTTCCAGATGAGTAATCTTTTCTCGCGAAGCAGAAACCATATACGTTGTTGCCGGACTCGCAGAGAGGGGATTGAATGGGTTTCTTTTGGGTGGCGAACCAGTTATTCGTGGCGGCACACTTTGCGTGTCCTCTGAAGACATAAGCGCCCGCAGTTGGTCTTCAAGTTCTTCCACGGAGAGCAAGAGGAATTCAGACCCACAATGTGTGAGAGCTTGCATCCACGCCTGTAAATGGATATATTAATTTCACTCTTGTATTGCGTCTGTCAATTCCGACGCCCAACCTATTTACATTTGACTGTCCTATGGATAGGTAAATCCATCTACCATCTTCTCCGACTCTATGGGGAGGCCTGTTGAAGTAGGGTACTAGCTAACTTTTCTAGCAGCCAATGAGTGATTTTTACCCGAGTAGGTGGGCTTTCGGAGGTGGAAATTCGAAAAAACCCTACTTGCAGTTATTTAATGAAACTATTTCTGTGGTTATGTCGCGAAAATTATTGGTACATTAAATAACAACGAGGCCAGTGCAACCATGGTGCTGTTTAACAGCACTAGTCGCTACGTTAACTCATTTATAACTTCTTATTATTGATGCTCAAATAAAAGTTTACAAATATTGTAAAGTATTCAAGACCGGAACGAAAAAAAGAAAACAGCTGTCTATGCAATAAACTTAAAAAAACTATCTGTCTGAGGTATGGATGGAACCTGGCTGATAAATCTGTGTACGTATTTTTAAACGAACCGGGTTCAATGACAGACAATAAGTTCAGTGGTTAGTAGTAGGGGCCTACCTCAGCCTCGGTGTCATTTTCTGCTTTAAGCACGTAGCTCCTCCGCAGATCGTTCTCACCAGTGAAAAGGATAGCAAAAGTACGGTCTTCGAGAAGCTCAATAAAATGCCCCTCCAAAAGAATTAGTCCGAGTGGCTCTTTGTCATCTTTGTGCTCACTGTACACAAGCATATTTCCGCTGAGGATAAAATAACGTTTCTTGAAGGATCCTTTTCCATCAGAAGGTTTTTTCCATAAAAAGCCTGTCTTGTCTGGAGTGGTGTTAGTAAAATGATAAGAAATCGTTTTTTCGTTAAATAAACGACCGGATGACATATAGGCGAAGGAAGCAAAAATAAGGAAAGTAGGTACTCCCCTAATCCAACAGCAGCGCGTAGCCAAATGCACCACTAAATGGAGTAGATAAACAAAGTATCGTTTAAATTCTTTTCACACCTTAGATGACAATGCCGTCGAGGTTTTCGAGTTCTTCCAAGCGTTTTTAAAACTTCAGGAATTACAATGCAGTGTTTTACTCAATCATGAA